TTTTGGGGTTAAAAAAAGGGGATTTGGGGGGGCTCACCCACTTACTGAGGGTGCTCTACTTTATGGCCAGCTGAGTTTTGGGGTTAAAAAGGGGGATTTGGGAAGGCTGGCTGAGGGCATTGTATTTTATGGCCAGCTCTGGATTTTGGGACTGAAAAGGGAGATCTGGGAGGGCTGGCTGAGGGTGTTGTATTTTATAACCAGCTCCGGATTTTGGGGTTAAAAAGGGGGATTTGGGGGGGCTCACCTGCTTACTGAGGGTGCTGTAGTTTATGGCCAGCTGAGTTTTGGGGTTAAAAAGGGGATTTGGAGGGGCTGGCTGACGGTGTTGTACTTCATGGCCAGTTCTGGATTTTGGGGTTGCAAAGGGGGATTTTGGGGGCTCACCCGCTCGCTGAGGGCGTTGTATTTGATGGCCAGCTCATCACGCTCAGCCCGGCTCTGGGCCAGCAGGTCCTCAACACGGGACAGCTCCTGCTGCAGGATCCTGTTCTCCTCCTGCAGGGACAGCAGCGAGGCCATGGCCCCTGTGGGGTGGGATGGAGAGAGGCAGGATGGGATCCGGGATCCAGGATGGGATCTGGGATCTGGGATCCAGGATGGGATCCTGGATGGGATCTGGGATGGGATCCGGGATCCAGGATGGGATCCAGGATGGGATCTGGGATCTGGGATCCAGGATGGGATCCTGGATGGGATCTGGGATGGGATCCAGGATGGGATCCAGGATGGGATCTGGGATCCAGGGTGGGATCCAGGATGGGATCTGGGATGGGATCCAGGATGGGATCTGGGATCCGGGATGGGATCTGGGATCTGGGGTGGGATCTGGGATCCGGGATGGGATCCAGGATGGGATCTGGGATCCGGGATCTGGGATCCGGGATGGGATCCAGGATGGGATCTGGGGTCTGGGATGGGATGCAGGATGGGATCCAGGATGGGATCCAGGATGGGATCTGGGATGGGATCTGGTATCCAGGGTGGGATCCAGGATGGGATCTGGGATCCAGGATGGGATCCAGGATGGGATCCAGGATGGGATCTGGTATCCAGAGTGGGATCCAGGATGGGATCTGGGATCCAGGATGGGATCTGGGATGGGTTACAGGATGGGATCCAGCCCAGGACACAGCCAGGGCATCCTTTGCCACCAGGAGCTGCAGCATTTGGATAAAGGATCCTCAGGGATAGGAACAACAACCTGCCTTGGGATCCTTCCCTGATATTTGCTTTGCTTTTAATAACCAGGCACAAACAGGGGGATTTCCACCAAAATCCCACCAGCCCTCAATGTGAATCTCCGGTGAGGGTTCTGCCCCCTGGCCTGGCTGGAAATGCCACCTCCCACACTCAGACATTCCAGGGAATGCTGTTTGTGAGGGAAGAGCTGCTGGAAATGCACAGTTGTGGTCAAAAGCCCACGGGAAGTTTGCAGTTGTGACTGCAAGGACGTTCAGATCCCCGTTCACAATCACAAAACAGCCAGAGATTTGCAGCTGCAACCACAAAATGGCCAAAATCTGGAGTTTGGGATCACAAAGTGCTGCAGATCAACGGCTGTGATCCAAACCCACCTCATTTTTCAACATAAAACCTCTGTAAATGTGAGTTTGGGATCACAAAATCAGGGCAGGTTTATAGCTGCAAGAGCAAAACTGCTGCAGATTTGCAGCTGTGATCCCCAAACTGCTGCAAATCTGTGTTTGGGATCACAAAACCCCTGCAGATTTACAGCCGCAGTCATAAAACTGCCACAAATTTGCATTTTGATCCCAAAACTGCTGTAAATTCATGACTGCAATCCCAAACCCGTTGCAGATTTCCAGTCACAATCCCCAAACTGTTGCAAATTCGTAACTGATCCCAAACAAGCTGTAAATTCATGTCTACCATCCCAAAACTGCTGTAAATTCATGTTTGTGATCCCAAAACCGCTGTAAATTAACATTTGATTCTAGAACTGCTGAAGATTTCCAATTACAATCACAAAAATGCTGCAGATTCGTAACTGCAATCACAAAACTGACACAAAATTTGGATTTCTAATGCCAAAAACCTCTGCAAATTCATGTTTGTGGTCCCAAAACCACAGCCGATTGATAGTTGCAATAATAAAACTGGCAAAAAGTTGCACTTGTGATCCCAAAACTGTTGTGAATTCCTATTTGTGATCCCTAAACTGCTGCAGAATTACAGTTACAACAACAAAACTGCTGCAGATTTACAGTTGCAACCACAAAATCACGAAAAATTTGTGTTTGTGATCCCAAACCCTGCTGCAGATTCACAGCTGTGATCCCCAAACCGCTGTAAATTCACATTTGCGATTCCCAAACCGCCGTAAAATCGCACTTGCAAGCCCCAAACCACCGTAAATTCTCATTTAAGATCCCAAACCGCGGCACTTTCCCATTCGCGGCCACAAACCCGCCCCCGATTCTCTGCTGGGATCAGGGAGCAGCCCCGATCCGCGATTTTCCCATCACAAACCCCTTTGCCCTCCCAAACCCGCTGCCCCAGCAACATTCCCGATCCCGTTCCCGATCCCATTCCTGACCCCATTCCCATTCCCAACCCAGATCTCATTCCCGATCCCATTCCTATTCCCGATCCCGATCCCATTCCTGACCCCCATCTCATTCCCGATCCCATTCCGGACCCCAATCCCATTCCCATTCCCATTCCTGGTCCCCATCCCATTCCCGACACCGATCCTACTCCCATTCCCGGTCCCATTCCCGACCCCGATCCCGATCCCATTCCCATTCCCGGTCCCATTCCCGACCCCGATCCCAATCCCAATCCCATTCCCATTCCCGATCCCATTCCCATTCCCGATCCCATTCCCGACCCCGATCCCAATTCCACTCCCGACATTCCCCATCCCATTCCCGACCCCGATCCCGATCCCATTCCCGACATTCCCCATCCCATTCCCGACCCCATTCCCATTCCCGGTCCCCATCCCGCTCTCCCCGCACCAAGGGGGACCCGCTCTCCCCACCTCAGCCCCGGGAGCATCTCCCGAGCCCCGGGCACCCCCTGGCCGCGGCCTCCTCGTCCCACGGCCCCTTTTCCTGGGATTTGGGGCGGTTCGGGCTCGGTGCCCGCCCGCGGGAAGCGGATGCGGGGTCGGGATCAGCCCGAAATCCGCGTCCCCTCCCCGTGTGACGGCGGGAGCGGGGACCCTCCTCTTCCTGGAGGTCCCGGCAGCGGCTCGGCCCCATCCTCCCCCAGCAACGCCGCGGCTCTGCCGGCAAACGCACCCCGAGGCTCCGGGCGCAGCGGGAGGAGGAAGAGGAAGGGGACAGAGCCCAGCGCCAGCCCCCGGCGGGGCCGTGCCCGGGGCGTGGGGCGGTCCTTACCGGCACCGAGCCGCTCTCCCGGCCTTGAGCCCCGCGCTCCTTAAGCTCCTTAACCCCGCAGTTGGCTCCGGCAGGAAAAGCTCCGGGGTGGAGCGAGCCCGGGTTGCCAAGGGGTGAAGCGGCTTTAACACCCCCGGGATGCGGGGATGGCGCCGGGACCCCGGATCATCCCGCCCGCCGCAGCTTTAATTATCCCCCGCGTAATTAAAGGCTTTCTGTCCCCAGCCTGGTAGGGAAAAGTGGGCATAAATCCCCAAATCCCCAGCACGGGGGCTGGAGGCGTCCCCGCCCCTGAAGCAAGGGATGGATGCGGTCCCAAGGCACGCTCCGGGCAGGACGGGCTGGCCGGGCCGGCCTCCCCTCGCCCCCCGGCAGGGAAAGCGCCCTTTGTGCCCCGGAGAGCCGGAGATTACCCGGGCCGGGAGCAGGCCGATGGGATTGAGGATTTACCGCGCCTTGGATGCCTCCAGCCCGGCGGGAGCTGCCTCCACTTGCACCCCGCAGCAGTTGTGTCCCAAAACTCCTCCTTTTCCCCTCATTTTCTCTCTTACCTTCCCCACCCGGTGTCCTTCCCAACAGAAACCACTGCTAAGCAACAGGTTCTGTTGTGCTCCGTGTCCAATCCCATTCCCTCGGCACCGGCAAGGAATGGGAATCACAAAAGCTCATCCTGGCTGCTCCGAGCCCGCCCAGGGGAAGAAAAAAGTTCCAGTCTGGCATCAAAACCGTTTTATTGTTCACTCAGAAGCGTTACATTCTCACCTGGGGTCGCTGCCAGGCCCGGGGGAAAGCTCTGAAAGCAGAATGCCCATTATCCAGTTGGAAATTGAAAGGAGAATCCAAAGGGTTGGATAAAAATAAGTGGGATTTCATACTCGGAAAAGCCTTAATATAAATAGGTAAGAAAATATTTATTTGTTTCAAGAGGGATCTCAACCCCAGCTCTGTCCAAGAGCTTGGCTCCATTCTGTCCTTAATAAAATGTCCATGGAAATGAGTTAGAAAATCGTGTCTTCAAAATAGAGGAGGATAAAAAACAAACTTCCCAGAGTAAGAAACGAGGAATTTCAGCGTGGAAACGCCGGGATCAGGCTCCCCACATCCCAGTTAAGTGCTCAGAAAAAAATCCAGGTGGTGCTTGGCATCCCGGCAGGGAAAGGTTTGAGTGGATCCAGGAGGATGCTCCTCGCCCAGGGAAGGATTGATCCAGCCCAAAAGCACGAGCAGAAGGCAGAGGAATCCCTGAGCTCTCCCTCTTTATCAAGGAGAGGGAGGGACCTGATGGTTTTTCCCACAGGAGAAGCCTCCAAGGTCTCCCAGGATCCTGATGTGGAGTGTTTAAGGCACGTGGCTGTTTCTTCCCAGCACTTATTGCAGCATCCTGGCACTGGGTGGGTGTAAGGGCAGGAGTGAGGTGTCCTGAGGCTGCTTCTTTGGTCCCACAGAATCCTGAGGATCCCAGCACCCACGTGGGGAAAGGTGGGTCAAGGTGGGATCAGAACTGAACCCAACCAGTGTTCCCCTGAGCCTGGCTGGAAGCTGACCTAGAGAGAGGGAAAAACAGGGGGGGAAAAAGGGTGTTTAGAGATGGCAAAGGCATCCAGGGAGGAAACTGGGCTGCAAATGGGTCACCCAGGAGCACCCCAAAACTCTCCTGGAGCAGCAGAGCAAGAAGTGCCCGTGGACCCAAACTCAGGGAATTGGCAGCACAGAGGCAGAGCCAATCTGAATCCCAAAGATGGGACTGGATGGAGCAGTGCCCCCACCCCAGAGGGGTTTTCCAGCAAAACCAGGGGTTTTTGGGGCATCCACATCCCCCCCAAATCCCTCTCCTGCTCACCCTGAAGCTTTGGCAAAGTCTCCCCAGACATCAGCAGCAGGAGCAGCAGTGGGCTGAGGCCAGGACAACAGGGAGTCTGTCAGGAAGAGAGGAAACAGAACAGCAGGAGTGATTTCCCACTCTCACTGCCAGCCTCCCCCCTTTGGTGGATGCAGCAGCCCCTCAGGGGCTCGGGGTGAGCACAGACCTGTGATGGGGGTTCCTGGGAGCTGGGCGGGCGTGGGGAGCGGGGCTGGGCGCTCCCCAGAGCTCGATTTTCCTCCGGGGGGTGGTGGAAGCAAGCTCAGACCCCCAGGCACTGCAGGGCGTGGCCTGGTGCTCCCTGTCCCTCCTTCTTTTTTCTTCATGTTCTGAAAGGAGAGCAGGAAGTTTGGGTGGGATCGCATTTAAATCCAGAACGTGAAAACCCTGGAAGCCAAATTGTTTAAATTTGGGAATAAAACCCTGCACTGCTGCGATGTCCCACTGCTGGTGCATCCAAAGGGGTCCCAGCAGGGGTGGATTTCACCCCAGATCCCCCAGGCCTGATTTCGGCAGCAGGAATTGATTGCACCACACCCCCTGCAGGCAGCGTTATCCCCATGGGTTCTGCCCTCAGCCCATGCCCAGGGATTTCAGGGAGGAGCTGCTCCTTCCTCGTGGCACCCAAAGGAAAAGCTGGGATCAGCAGGGAAAGAAAGGCCCTCACAGCAATGTTGAGTTTGATGGTTTGTCCCTCCTTGAAGCCCAGATCCAGTTTGGGTCCCTGCTCCAGGTCCTGGGCCTGCCGGGCCAGCTCGCTCTGCTGCCTCACCCACCTGTGGGAATTAAATCCATGGAAAAGGAGACACAGCCTGCCCCAGGCTCCCCCAGACAAATAAATCCTGCTCAGGACCATCCCTCTGGGGCAGCAGCTCTGCAAAGGTGTGAGCTGGGACCTCACCTGAGGGAGCACCCAGGGGATGATTCCCAGCAGTGGCTGCCGGAGCCCCACGGATCCCTCAGATGGCACCACATCCATCCATCCCTCCCCAAAACCTCAAAATTCCAAATTCCACCATCCCCAGCAGCTGGAGCAGCCCCCAGGGCAGCCCCTTACAGCTGATACAGGAAGCAGAGGAAGTAAATCAGGGAATCTGGAGTGGGAATTTGGATGCCCAGTTTGGGACGCTGCTGATCCAGGCTGGGAAATCCTGGAGAGAGGAAAAGCTGCCAGTTCCCTCCTCTTCCCACCACAGCTGCCCAGCCCAGCTCCCACTTCTCCACCCCTCCTGGAAGAGATCTGCCGAAAACAGAGCTGAGAGGACACAGGGAGAGGCACAAACTCACTTGAAGTGGTCCTGGAGAGCCACGTTGAAGTCAAAGGCATCGCCTCGGTCCACAAAGCCAACCCCGATGAACGCCCGGCGGCCTGGGCAGGGAGAGGAGACTGGGATGGGATGGGATGGGA